GCGCATTACTTATACTTGGTTTTAGAAAAATTGACCGCTATATGTATTCTTTTATACAATTATTCTGGCCTGTAATTCTTTTGTGTGTGTGGGCGTGTTTCATAAATATTTTTATTATAATTTCGCCAATGAAATAATAAAAATAAGCATACTTAACAAAAATGACGGTTTACAATATACTGTGGTTTTCCATTTAAAATTTTCTTCAAACGCACCTTAACTACATTTAGGACCCGGATTTGGGTCCAAAATAAAATCTTTTTTTCCACCGTAGGGCCTAAGTATCTTGGTAACAACCTCTACAAAAAAAAGCAACATTTAATGATTAAGTAATTTAAGTTGAAATTAAAGTCAACACATCGTTTCTCCTTTATTTATTTATTTATTTTTTTCATTTGCAGGCATCTTTATTAGGTCGCCTGAAGTTTAGGTAAAAATTACCAGTACGTCTTTCCTCCCATTCCCAGACACGTCAACACTTCCGATCTCGCCGGGAGTCTCTTGATTTGGGGACTCATCTCCCGAGCTCCCGAATCAGTCTAAAAATCTCCCGATCTATCAAAAATTTCTCCCTTTCCTTTCGTTAGAACGTGCGGTGACTTCATTCACGAAAATGTGATGTGTCGTCACATACTTGCTTTCTCAGTTTCGTTGATAGGGGGTAGTGATTGCAGTAAACAATAAGAAGGCAATGCCAAAGACAAAACCAAGTGGGGTCTTTTTAACGCATCCTGAACACTATATGTTAATGTTGTCATGGGACTGAAGGCTGTGTTCACAATGGAAGTTATCTTACTAGCAGGATCGTGTGTGTGTTTGGCAACTACGATATGAGGTTTGCAAAACAAGTCATCCACAGAACGATTCCAATCCTCCTTTTGCGTTTACATATCAATGCTTTAGGTAATACAAATTTTTAGACTTTCATATTTAGTCAATGTACAAAAATATTCATAAAAGTATATAATATTTACAAGAATGTACAGTATTACCAACAGGCATACATGTACATGTCCCTATGACAGAAGGGAAAGTGCGTTTATCCGTTTTCCCAAAAATTCAGAGACACCTATACCTGGCAAAGTCAAAGCATGTGTATCCTATTTTTTTTTCATTATGGATGCAAAGTCAGAAATTTACTTTAGAAAGCACACTCCCAAATGTAGATGCATTCTGAAGATGTAACCATGGTGAGAAACCAGAGAAACCCAGTTTAATTACTTAGCAGTTTATTATCAAATGTTGACAAAAACAATTATCATTGTTGTTCCATAGAAGTCTTCAGTCCCTCCACAAATAACATACTGCAACTCCAATTATCATTATCTAAATCTCTTAAAATGACAACAATCATGATATAGACAATAAAAATTAATTTAGCATAGTATCACAGATAATTTTTTATACTGGAGGTAGGGTTGGTGTGTTAAACAGGGGAAGGGGGCAAGAAGCATAAGAGGGAGAGAGCAACTTAAAAAGAGAAAATTTACTCCCTTCTTGATATTCTGAATCAGTCATTGGTCAAATCATTTTAACACAAACATCTAAGAATATCTGAAACATATTTTATGTCTCTGTAGGCTAAAATGCCCCCAGCATTGGCCCACTGTTTTGCCCCTAATTCCTTCTGCAGATTCTTAAAATGGTAAGTCAACTCTGTCTTTTTAAGGCCATCTTCTAGGTGACCAGTGTCCTTGCAGGACTTGACCACCTCCCACGCTTTATGGAAGTCCAGCACTGCCCCGCCCATGGTGCGGAGAATTGCATGACCACAACAAGTGTCCCATCTATAGATGGCGCTACCAGAGTTAAAGTAGGCCACCGTGATGTTGTCCAATATGGAGAGAGATTTGTTTCCAGCTCCCCAGGCATGAACTACTTGAAATTTTGCAGAAAATTTGGATAAAATCTCTGGATTTTCACCTGGGCTGCTGATAATTTTTGCTCGGGTATCTGGTTCTTCCTGACTTGCGTTTGACTGTGCTAGGTGTGACATCTTCACCTTTTTTGATTGCGCTGAACTTGTCTCATCCAAGTCACCCGATTGCTCTGCCAGATGTGATGCTGAATCTGTTTCAAAGGTTTCAAGGGAGTTGATATTGATAGACTTGTAAGAGATGCCCCAAATAAATCTGCTCTGCCATCTAAATGAAAAATTATAACATAAATTAATTAAGACAAGTGTTATGACCTTTTTCACTTTCAGATATAGATTATTATTTCTATAACTATTTACCTAAATATCCTATGCCAAGTAAAATACCTATTACACTTATTCAGAAAATGTGGCACTGATCAATTAATTCCACAAATTGCATAAACAATGTCCTAAAATTAAATATTAACAGTCAAACTGAAAAACAACTATAAAATAATTTATCAATTCTAAATAGTATATATTTATTTGAAGACCTTTTCCATAAAGATACTTTGACGCATAAAATGTAATGAAAAACTTTTAAGAAGAGTTTAAGACATACAGTACAAGCAGCACTGATTTTAGGAAATAAAACCAAGCAACAAAATCTAAAAATAAGATATAAAAATATTATACAAACGAACAAACAAACAAACAAACAAACAAACAAAAGAATATGTGTGTGTGTGTTTGTGTTAACAGTCATCTTGAAGAACTCCTCATACCTCTTAGTACTGGTATCCCGTGTTGAAAAAGCCTGGTTCATAACACCAATAATGGGGATTCCAGATTCTCTGTCG